GAGAACTGTCCTAATATCCACAGGGCTGAGAGAACTATGCCAGCTGCCAGGCAGCTGTCTCCCAACCCCATGGAGATCAGGATGGGTCCTAATCTCCATGGGGCTAGGAGGCAGCTGCCCGACAATTGGGACAGTTCTCCCCCTGACTGCTGCAGAGAGGCACATCAGGGCAGGAGTAGCCCTAGACTGAACTGTTTCCATCAGGAGTAAATTTGCTCCCAACAGATACATGTTCAGGTGCATACAGGGGCGCAGCTTAATGCGCCCAAATTTTCTGTGCAGAAAATTCAGATATATTAATTTCATGTTTAGACATGCCCAGTATCTCTAAAAACAGAAGAAGTATAGCTACATTTGCATAGTGTAAAGGATTCAGGCTCAGAAAAGTGACTTTTTGATAGTTTTGATCAGTTTGATTAATTGGAACAAATTTTGAAAAGCACTATTAAAATTATTAGGGATCCCATCCTTGGTAATCCAGCCCAGAAAAGAAAGATCAGTCATATTTTACAACCACCAGTATGCATCCTCAAAGATTCACATTTGATTATTCCATTCTTCCAGCCAATGTAAGGAAACCAACTCCTTGTAAACTGAAATCACTATATAGCAACTCCTTTGATGTTCCAGACTCCACTGTCCAGTGAAAGCATTACCAGACAATGGGGATTTGTTCAGCCCTATCAGATCATCAGCCTTCTGGTCTCTAGGAAGCTGTACTTCCATTGAATGTCTTTGTCAGATGGATCTCAGTGAAGATTGGAATAATCAAAATCATGATACGCTTTACAGTATATATTCAGGTTATTCAAAAATGTTTCATTTAAAATACTATGTTCTCTTTTTCATCCTCAGTACATATACATGCAGGCCAGATGTGCTGAGAGGCAGAATCAGTTACCCCACTCACCACACAGCACTAAGGACACTTTTACACATGCTCCAGGAAGGGGTGGGGGGGAGCACTTTAATTAGAGACCACAGTGTTGAACAAGCTTTAGTTCAAGTGCCCCCATCACCATTTTGGAGTGCAGGGACGCTGTTACATGAGATGAAGGAGGCTCCTGAAGCACAATAATTACAATGCTCCAACAGACTCATTCCAACTGGATGCCCTCTCCCTGTGACTTTGTTTAATTTTATCGGGTAAGTGTTAAGTTCTTGGGGTAATACTATAGTTTTGTAACAGAGAAAGAGTGAGGCTCTGAAAGAAGAGGGGGAAAATGGATAGTCCCAGGGAGGACAGAGAGAAAGTCCTAGGGGGCAGTTGGGAGAGAAGAGTGGAAAGCTTATTCCCAGGGAGGACAGAACAGAGTCTGAGGAAAGACAGAGGGAACTGCAATGGCACAATAAAGACTGACTGTTTTGAAGCACAGTCTCCTGTGCTGTTTGGGATGTCAGCACTCTAACACACCCTCGCCCTTTTTTGAAGAAAAAACACCTTCCCTTCCTAAGGGATGACCAAAAGGAAGCATATCTCTGAGGCAAGGGTACAACAGGTCACTGGGGAAGTCAGGGACAAAGAGAAGCCAGGGTCTTGAAACAGAGGCTTACCCCTTGTGGAGCCATAGCAGGGCTGGCTTCAGGAGGGCCATTAGGAGAGGGAGACTGCAGCAAAGCTGTCCTTCAAAAGTGGCTTGATCTGTGACACTGTTTCAGGCCCTTATCTCAATCTAACTCCACCTGATGCCTCCCCCCACTTTCTCATCTGTTTAGGTAGATCTCTCTTCTGTGCTGCCTGGTCGAGCAGATTGGTCACTTAGGGCATCTATACACGTGCTCTGGGGTGGAGGTGGGGGGTAGAGTTAATTAGAGAGGCTATAAAACCCTCTTTAATTAAAACGCCCACAGCATCATGTGTATTCAGTGTCCTGCACTTCAAAATGGCCATAGGGGCGCTTTAACTAAAGTTTGTTACAATAAGCTTCAGTTAAAGCACCCCCACTGCCATTTTGAAATGGAGAAACACTGATACATAAGATGCTGAATACACATGACGTGGAGGCTGCTGGAGCACAATAATTAGCACATGCCAGCAGACTTGATTCATTAAGTCTACCTCAATGCATGCTAGTTAGCACATGTCAGACCAGAGCTCCATCATGTGTATAGGTGCCCTGAGAGCACAGGAAAGATGCACTCCCTGCTTTTAGTCAGTAGCATAATGATGGGTGGGCAAGTGTTGCATCAGCCCCAGACTCTACCTAGGGGTGTGGGAAACCTCATCCTCTCTCATAGGCTGCAGCTTTCTTGCTCCAGCAGCAGGGAGCGAATAGAACTTGCAGCAGCATGTAGTGGAGGAGCAGCCAGAGGTTCACTGCTGCAGGAGTTGGGAGAGAGATGTCACTCCCTGTGCTGCTGCAAAGAACTGGTGTTTTTTTGCTCACTTGACATCATGACTAGAGACAGAAGTTACACATAAACCAGTTTAAGTGATCAGAAGCCAGTTTAAACCTGTAACAGAACATAAGTTCAGTATGTATAAACCACTTTCAAAATGGCCAAAACTGGTTTATGATGAACCTGTTTAACTGATTTACATCAAACTGGTTTACGGAACTTCTGTCCCAGACCCTTTCCTAGTTTAAGTTAGCTCACAGTCCCCCAACATCCCAGGATGCTTTGCAGCCCTGGGCTGGGTGGGGCTGTGCTGTCTGCTCCAGTGGAGCAGGGTTGGCCCCACTCCTCTCCTCTCTAGCTGGAGCACTATCACTGCTCCGGCTGGCTGAGAACGGGGTGGGGTGGGAAACCCTGCTCCCTGGTAGCCTGAGGGGAAAGTTGGGGGGTTAATCCCCCATTCCATCCCCTCTCCCACTGGCATGGCACTCCAGCTGGAGTCTGCCTGGCTGCTCCTCCTTTGCTCCCCCACCCCCCCCTCCCGCCGCCAACTTCAGGTTGCTGCTCAAGGTTGTTTCTTTCACTGTCTTTAACAGCTGTTCCAGCTGTTCCTTTTATTGTATCAAAGCTTTTTATGTCAATAGTAACCCTTCCAGAGCAATTCATTTCTTTGTCTTTTATTTGTCCAGGTTTTATGCCCAGAGACAATCTGAAAGGAACACTGGTCACAAAATTGTACAAATGCATCTGATCCACAGAATATATCCTTACTCCAAAAACCTGGGCCTGTTTTTCTTATCTCACCTACTTTTCTAGTTCGGGTAGCTCTTTTCTCACCAAGCTTGCCATAGCAAGTCAATCCAAAAAAGGGGAAAAGCTCCTGAATTCTAACTTAATCTGTGCTCTCTCCCTTGCAAAACCAGTTTGACAAGTTTATGTGATTGAGCCTCCAAACCCCTGGAACAGATTTTGCAATCTTCAACAGCTCTAAATTCAAGCAGCCTCCAATTTCTAAGTCCAGTGTTCAACAAAATTTCCAAGTGCTGTGCATAGTAAAGTCTCTCAGTCCAGGTACATTCAGTAGTGCCCACCCAGGGAAGGGGGAAGCTCGAGTGCTTCTGCAGCGAGCAGCAAGGGGCGGGGGGGCTGGGGATGCCTAGCAAGGGCTGCTGCCCTCCTCCCTGTCCAGGCACACCCTGGCTGGGGACTGTGCAGGACAGGGTGGGGGTTTAAACCCCTCCCCAATCATACTCAGTCTTCTGGGGCCTGGCCATGTCACTGCTGAAGGGAAGGGAAGGCTTGCTCTAAAGCCCTCAAGCTTCTAGCCTGAGCCACTGCAGGCATGTGGCCACGCTTCCAGAATCAGAAGTGACTGTCTATTCACTTGCTTCTTGGTTCAATCTACACAAGTTAGACCAACCTGCAAAGATTGAATTGATTCAGGCTCAGGCATTTTGAATGTCCTTACTTAGCTCATGTCAGTGGCAAAAAAGGGGAGAACATCTTCTCCCTGCAGCAGCAAACCTCTGATCCCTCCTGCACCATGCAGCACCACTACCACTGCAGGGAAGGTGCAGACTGAAGGAGAACAGTGCTGCCCAAGGCACACTACTGGGCAGTTACTCCTCTGCTTTCTCTTACGATGTCTGGGCCTAGGCCTGACACAACCTGGCATATTGCAATTGGAAAGCACGGTTGCTTAGAGTGTCCTGCGCAACCCCAGGCTGAAGCATGCTTGATGCACAAACGAAGCAAGCTGCAAAACTCTCACAAGTCTCCCCTAAGTATGCACACAATACTTCCCCCCCCACAAAAAAAAACTTTATTCTGAATAATTTGGTCAAATTTGCACAGATTTTCCAAGTGACAGAAAAAGACAGAGCCCTGGTTCAACATCCACTCCCTTGCCAAATTGTGATTCCCACTCCAGGGCATGCAAGTACTAGAGGTCTTCCATTTTTGGACTTAATCAAAACAATCTATTTTTCTCTGGTTGTGTTCTCAGAAGCAGCTGAACTATTTTACCTGAAATTTGCCAAAGGAAAAAAAAAAAGCAGACTGGGCGGGCAGTGGGCATGAAAAATTCCAGCCTAAATTGTTAGAATTTGGTAGTGTAAGCATCTGAAAACAAGAAAATTGATGGGACATTTAAATAGCAGTAATTATTCATTAAATATTAAAATAATGGTATGATTATTATTATTATTATTATGACTCTTACCAGCAGCTGAGAGTAGGGGGATGTAGGCAGGAAAATACCCAGGGCAGAAGGTGGGGAGGCAGCTCCACTGCTTGCTCCTAGGGAAGGCAGCAGAGCCCCTTCTTCCAGGGCAGTCCCAGCTGGGTCCCCCTGGGCCACTGCCTGGGTAGCCCCTCCCCTGGAGGGTCCCTCCAGTGCTCGTGGCTGTGGTGCCTCAACTCTCACCGGGGTACAAATTTAAATATTTACAAATTTACATACTTACATATTTGCAAATTTAAATATGTAAATTAGACTGTTTCTATACTTGGTCCACCAAAATTATTTGAGTGAGCTTGGCAGTCTGCAATATAAGAAAGGTTGGGAACCACTGATCTAGAGCTGCCTAAATATGTGGTTATGGTCCAGACTCCATGAGAAGTAAACCTTGCCTAATCCCCAGTGAGCAGGGGGTTTGCACTTACTTGACTATCTCATGCGCCGGTACTTACAGGAACATATTGAAAAGGCATTGAGACTGCGAACCAGTTGAGTGCTATAGGAAGAAAACAGAAAACAACAAAATAATAGTTACTTAGGAAAAAGAAGGACTGGAGCAATGTCAAAATGGAGTCTGCAGATGGAAAACCTCTTCATCATAACCACAACCGCTACAGGGAGGGAAGAACTTGGAACAACAGAAAAACTTTCACTCATATATATTGGAACTCAACTGACAAGCAGAGAGAAGGTCTATAATCATATTAGAGCACACCATTTCCTCAGCTTATGTCTTAAGCCAGTGATTCTCAACCAGAGTAATATGCAGTATTAGAATTGTTGGTCTGCAGACCCTTGTACATTATTTACAAGATAAACCCAGAGATTTCAAATAGAAGTCCATAGTGACCAAACCATCCCAACCTGTTGTGGTCTTTCTAAGTCCTTTATAACAGAAAAATTGATCTATTATCTTTCTGTAGACAAAAAATGAGTGAAAGCTAAGAGCTGGCATTTTGTGAGGGGTGCCTTGAGTCTAACAAGAGGTGATTGAATCCAAAAAGGCCTGAAGACCTGCTTAAAAAAGGGGTAGTTAGGACTCTACAGTAGACCATTGAGTAATATAGGGTTCTGTTTCTTTCTTCTACCAGAAGCTTGACAAACTCCTAATTCCAGCTAGATCAGGGAATTAATACTTGTGGTTTTGCAGTCTAGAAGGAAACAACAAAGACTTCTAGAGGCAGAGTTTTGATGTCTGTTTGATATTATCAGACCACAAGGAGAAACCAGGAAGCACAAAGACTGGCAGAAAGGTTCAAAGGCTGAGATAACAAATGCAATAGGATTGAAAATAGTTTGACTTTTTAAATAATTGAACAATTCTGTTAAATAAACAAATTAGCAAGAGAAATGCTGTAAACATTTAGTGTTGCTTTTACCGAAGACTACAATCTTCAGCTTATGTTAGGGTGCAAGCCAAATATTAGTGTGAGCCCCACAGTAACAATGTGATAAATCAAAAGTGTGTCCAAACACGTTCCATATTTTTATATTAATTTAACGTGTGTATCAGAAAGGTCTTTAGCATGCCATTGGAAATGATTTTTCTGGCTGGCTGCTTGTCCCCTTCTGTCTTTTTATTTTGTTGGACTTGATTGCAGATGAATAAGGCAAGCAGTCAAACTTGCCAGATACTTTTAAATAATTAGCATATTGCATATAGTAATTTTGCATTGGCTCCTTCTCAAAATAAATGTGTAGAATCCCATAAAGATTTTGCACTGATTAAACTAATCAGACATTTGAAAGTTCAGCATGTGTTAGTTCCTTTAAAGTTCCAAGGAAACCAAAGTATGATCATAAAATAGAATTGGCAGCAAAGGTCACTCAAATTCATCTGGCACATCTCAGAGGTCTCATCTTTGTAATGAGAACCAGTATTAAGAAGCTCTATTGTGCAAGTAGAAGGTAGTATTCCACTATCAATAGCATTATGGAAATATTTCTGCTTACAGAGTCAGTCTATAATTAGAGGGAAATGTAAAATATTTTGAAAGTTTAGCAAGGATTTTACCTGCTTTGAAATTTGTAATTCAAGCACCAAAATGGTGTCTGCTCCAGGTACCTGAACAGCCAATGACAGTTAGTCTTGATTTAATTTGACTCTTTCATTTTTACTCTTTGAGTGCCTTGTTGTTCTACACTCTGATAAGAATGTGGAGGGTTTTTTTTCTACAGGGATACAAGATTTGGTCAAACATGAATGTATTTTTTTCTGTTTGCAAATTAAAACACTGACTGCCAGCAAATCTGTATCTCAACAACAGTACAGAACAGTAGAGATCTTATTCTGTTTTAAATATCTTTGGTCAGTCAAGTTATAAACTAGCCTGCTTTCAAGTACATCAAAATCAATATAAATATTAGCTGAAACATCATAAATTATAAATATTGACTGCTGAGAAGTAAATATTGTTTGGGCTGGGACAGAAAGCCTGAAGTCAAAGACTGAAGACAATATTTCACAATCTCCATGTTTTTGGGGTTGTTTTTTTTCTTTTCCTCTGGCAATATGTTACCCAGCTGTGGCTCAGGAAAGCAGCCACATTTCTTTTATTCAACTGTATGGTTTTTAAATATGTGTGTTGTAAATCTGACTTGACGAGTACTCCAGAATGAGATTTCGGGCCTAGTCTGAGGCATTCATGGTTTTAAAAGTATGGCACTCTAAGCGAGATTGTGGAAGTCATGCTGCTACTGTGGGTGTTGCAGTCATTACCCTGTGTCTGGTCTTGCTGTCCTTCTTGTACTCTCCTGCCACACCTTGATGGAAAATAAATATTTTGAGAAAGAATGCCAAGCTTGGGAGGTGGTCTTCTTAATATGCATCGGGGTAATGATGGGTCTCTTCTCAAGGCTCCTACCTCCCCCTTCACCCTGTCCTGACCTGTAGTGCCCCAGACTTTGGTGTGACTCTGGGAACTCCTTCCCTCTCTCCCTTTGGATAGCTCTCATGGTCACAAGCACCCCGCTGTCTCTTCCCTGTCTTGGTTTGGTTACTTCTAGTGGGATGGCATTCCCCTGCTCTCCTCTGGGTTTGAGCCTTAATGGGTGGCCCTTATCGCCTCAGGGTCCTAGTCTCCATAAGTCTCTCACAGCTAAGGCAGATGCCTGCTGTACTGCCATCTGGTGTGGAGTCCCCTTTCCTGGGTTCCCTCTGGATGGGAGGAAAATTGTTTTCCCTTCCCTGCAGCTCCTCACTCTGGCTTCTCTCGCCTTTGTTTCCCACAGGTGAAACCGC